TTTTTCAAAAAGAGAACAATAACTAACAACGTCATTTATGAGAACAACTGACCAATTCTTTATTCAGAAGAAAATTGTTTCTAGGAGTTTTCTAATATTGAAGATTTTAGAGGCAGGCTGATATAAAGTATATACGATATTTTTATTGGCTCATCTCAGACAAATTTACAACATCAATATCGACTTTGGACAGCCCTACCTAAAGAGCTCTGATGTTTAAAACTTTTTGGGGAGGGTTGTGGTTTTTATGGTCCAGCCCAGGGACCTTATGTATCATGTATTCACGATAACTTCACAACAACTGAACTGAATCTGAATCTGACCTGAGATTGAGGAGCGGCTGAAGAATCCCATAGAGCTGCACTGGACTAGACTTCAGAACTATGGTCCTTTATTTTGATTTTGTCAAAAAATGAATAAATAAATAAATAAATACATTTTTAAAAAATTTGTTAAATGAAGTAGCCAAAGCAAACTGGCAATATGACTAGCAAAATGTTGCCAATAATAAAAAAAATCAAACAAGATGTGAATCAACTAATAAAAAAAAAAAAAAAACATGTTTTGAAATTTGTATATTTATTATAATCTGAAGGATCCCTTAAAAGGCCTTCACATGTAGCCATGATTACATTATTTACATTAACCAGCCTTGTTTTCAATAATACCCATTTTCTACAATGGTTAACGATGGAGCTCTACAGCCAACAATGCAAAAAGTGGAACAAGTTTAAGATGTGTTTCTGTAATGTTTTTCTGAAAAATATCATCAGAATATTTTCCAAGTTGGAAAAATTTTACTTTTTTTATGTATTTTACTGTGAGAGAGCAGCTTACTTTCACAGAAAAACAACTGATTGCTTGTGCTAATAGGTATGTGAAGAAATCTATGTCAATGGAGTGGAAGTGGAAAATTTGGCAGAATGTAACAGGGTGGTTAATAGAGAGTACTGGGATCCACTAGTGTAGATTCTCAGGCCTATGACCTCAAACACTAAAGCTTTAATAAAAAAAAGGTATGACGTTTAAAGGAGTCAATGACTCACATATCCTTACATTTAGTTTTTTACGTTGTTGCACCTTGTATCTCTCCAAGCAAGTTTAACAAAATATTTCCACTGCATGTTCCAACGTGTGAATTGCTCTGGGGGAAGGGGGAAGATAAAAGGCTGAATTGGAAGTGTTAGATAAGTAGAAACAGAGATCCCCTTCCTCTGTTCAATGTTCATTAGGGGTTTTTTTCTACACAGGGATGAGGTTTTTTCCTCATATTCTATTAATTATTATTAAATAATTAATTGAAATAGATTTACTTTCATAAGATCCAGCCTAGTGCTTTGTAAATGTAGCTTAAACAGTTTGAACAAATTCAATTTAACTTTTTTTTTGCTGGAGTTGAATACAAAACAAGATTATGTTTTTAGTAATTTTCCTTGTATTAAAGCTGAAAACATGCTTTTCTGCCACTTCATATCTTAAAGAAGCATTGGCTTTCCTCCACGCATGCATTAGTTTACACCATAATTCCTCTAGAATGGATCAGTACCTCTGTATTAAAACCTCCCAACAGAAATATGCTGCCAACACCATGTTACACCATGAAAAAATTCCATAAATCTGCAGTGCTAGCTTTGGAAAGAGTTAATTGACTAGAACTAGTTTTTGCTGCATTTTTTTGTGGCTACTAAAGAGCCTGATTTGTGGAACTCTCAGGTAGCCCTTCGTTTTGACAGGATCTTTTGATTCTAGAACTCAAAACCACTTTATTGACATGCTTTATAATAGAAAAGAGAGGCTAAATAAAAAGCAGATAGTAAAAAATAAATCAAAGCATCAGTCAAAGAATGAGTTTTGGTTTTATGTTGCAATTCAAAGAATCAGGGTTCCGTAAATGGAATTATGAAAGCATTGAAAATATGTTTTATGTTTGGGTTCCTAATCTCCAAATAGTAAATTAATCAAGTTTTTGGTTGAATAAAATGTCCGAACATTCTTCTTTAGATATTGCTGACATATAAAGGACATTAATAGAGAAAATATGCCAGAGCAAAGCATGCAAAGCTGGTATATTTCCACCAGAGCCTGGAGCAGTAAGCCCTTCTCAGCACGGGAGCATAGACAGGAAACACATGTTTTCAGCCATAGAACTGCTAAATGTTGTTTGCATTTGGTCCTTAAACAGACATTCTGGTGGAGTTGCAGGTTTTAGTTGTTTTACTGAAGACTGAACAATAGTTTAATCACCGCTGACAGAGAGTGCTCAACATCCCTCAGTGAACTAGTTTAGCACCGTCTCATTGCAGGAAGTTCTCATTACATACACAGTGCACCAACCCCCCACCCGCTGTACCTATTTGACAACTACCTGTTTTGAGTTGATTACCTTAGGTCAACCTGAAAGGAGAAAACATGAGAAAGCTTCACTGGGTGGGAAAAATACTCCCACCACACAGTAGAGAGCTCAGTTTTGGACTCCGCCCTCACCTGTGGAAAATAGCAGGCTTTGTACATGGCTTCAACAGCAAATTGCTACCTTTGTCTGTCAGCCAAATGATATAGAGACGGATTTGTGTGTGTGTTTAAATGCCACAGAAAACAGCTGTCCTTAGTTGACATAATTGCTTGTTCACATGTCTCGCAGGGAATTATGTTATGTAATCTTTGTCCCAACTGTCATGGTCCCTGTTTTCTTGTTTGTTTATAGGTGATTTTTGTTTATTAGCATAAATGTTTATCTTAAAAAAAAAACTGTTAGAATATATATCTTCAAGACACTTTAATGTAATCAACAAATTTTCAAAAGAAAATCTTTAATCTCAGATTTTGTCAATTTGAGATCCTTTATTAAGGACCTTTATTGATGACCTTATTTGATATTATTCAGTCCACTAAGTGAGGGTTATTATGCATAGTAATTACACACAAATTAATATTTAAAGTCTTAACCCTGCTAATTATATTAACTTATTATGTACAGTTCATGAAAAAATGTCAGCACATTTGTAGAAATGTAGAATAGTAAAACAGACTAACAAAATATGATTCAGTAAATCAACGACTATGGAAACAGAACTTTAGACACCTTTGGATTATTTGGCTCTAGATTCTGGGACCTATAACGTCAAGTAGCACAAATAAGATTTGTTTATTTTTTTCAAGTTTCTTTTTTTCACCCAAACTGGGGTTTTTTTGCCTTTTCTCTCGCTTAGAAAGGGGTAATCATGAGGAATATGGCAGTGTTAGTCTATGTCCTGGATCTGTTTTTGTATCAATCCTTAAACTCCACCTTATCTTCTCAAAACCTTTGATGGGCTCCTCAACCCTAAAGCTAAAGACATGCATGTTTGTTGTTAAACTTTTTTCAACCAATGTGTCCTCTTTTGAACTGAATGACTGGTGCAACTGATGCAATTTGCAAATACAATATACCTTTGTATTTTTTTGTGCAGAAGAAAGGTTCTAAAGCTATCTGTTTTAAAATTGATCCCAGCTGAAAAGGGATTTAACATCACCTGAATTTTGTGATCTCTGCCAAACAAAGAGCTGAGCCACAAAGCTCCAAGGGAATAGGTTTTACCAAATGTGAATCATCTCTGTCGTTAAGAGCACAAACTCAACGTGACCAGATTTGTTCTTGTCTTGCACAGATGGAGTCTCTTTCTTGCTATGAACACAGTTAGACCTTTAGAGGGCAGACAAAGATCAAGCAGTAACTTGGTGGCAGATTTGGAAATAAATTTTAACAAGTGGAATGTTAGGCTTGGTTTGCCAAGCCTAAGCGGATTTGTTTTTTAGGTTGTGTTTGGAAATGTCCATGAAACTGGAAATTGCAGTGTCATCTTTTCTTTCAGCACCCTTTGTGAAAATGTGTCTTTTGTTGATTTTCTTGTCCGGTCTTGCTGATTCTTTCATGAGCCTGAAGCAAATGCATATGGTCTTTGTGAAACGATAAAGCCTTAATATTTACCTGGAAAATTTGCCACTTAAAATACGGAACCTGAGCCAAATGATACAGCCTCACCAGTGTTCTTTCATCCAAATGTTATTTAAAAAACAGGTGTGGTGCAAAGAATGATACTCCAAGATTTTCTTTTTTAAAGATTTATTTTATCAGATGCATTCTGTCAACAGGCAACAATTGGTATAAGCATTTTGTCAAACAGAAAAAAAAAGCCTTAATAGCAAGATAATAATACAAGCTGCTTTCATGCAAAAAATATAAAAACAGAACTTCATTGTTTTAGTGTCAAGTCATTTCCTCTCAGCTTTGACACAAAACACAAACCAGAGACATTCCAGCCTGAATGCAGTTACACAATATGTAAAAATATCAACTTTAAAAAAATAATTTAGAGAAAACAGGAACATTTGGATAAAAGTCCAACGTCATCGATACATACAATATAAAGATAGATGCACATAATTATAGCGAAATGAATAACTTCTGTTCAGGCTTAAGGATTGGTTTTAGAAAATGTTCCTAGGATTAAAGTGGGCTATTCCCACTGCTCTCTTAACTGTTAAAAATAGATCAAATAATGAGAAATAATAATAGGCCACTAATATGACATGACCTTGCATTGAAGATTACTTCAATTTGGAAATATAAGCATTTTTTTTTAATGGACACTTTCTCCTCCTGACTGTTCTTTACTGAAATAAAATGTATCACACACATAATAAAGCTTTGGTTCTTTGAAAAATGTCTTTTGCTCTCAGTGGGCTGCATTTTTCTGAACAACAGCTTAAAATAGATGCTTTAGAGGCGAAGTGGTGTGCCTCAGAATGTAGCAGGGAAACCGCTGTCTGTCTGCGCAGATCAACACAGCTAACACATTTATGACACTTTACTGTTTGTGTTTTTCTGTCATTTTTGGACAATTTTCACCCCAAAACACACTTTGATAACATTTTGCTAAAAGTATTTCTCAATTGACCATATATCAGGACCTGAACAAAAACAAACAAACAAAATCTATAGAAAGATACATCTGTTTTTAAAAAAAACTTTACAATGAATGTTACATGAAACTATAAAAAATATAGGAGATAAGAGTAAAATACTGTTAAAAAGGAAGTACAACAGACACGTCAGTTCTGGACCAAAATCACTTCCTTGAGAAATAGTGTCTCTATTTATTCTGTACATAGAAATAAATCTACAATATAATACAGCTACACAATATTGTGAAGAAAAGTCATCTTGAAGACGGTTTTCCAATATATAACTGGCAGGAATTATAAAACGGTGTTATAACAGTACCATATTTACATGGGTAGATTTCAGCGACTTTAAATCTTTCTAACACTCTTTAGACATGCCTTTGTTGGCCTATTTTTAGCAGTTAGCCTCTTTGCCGTTGGAATTAGATTTGGAGTTGGTTGTGACGGTGAGTTGTAGATTCTCCTCCTGTTCTTTCGCCTCCTGCCTATCCCGAAATTCTCCCTCGATGTGGAAACCAACCATTACCTGGTAAATCATGGTGCCAATAATGGCTCCAAGGAATGGCGCACAAAGCGGCACCAGAAACCATCCATTTCTAAACCTGTGGGAAACAAGATACATTAACATCACTAGGGGCATTTAGTTAAAGACATATAAAGGAAATATTTTAACCATTCTCCATGTAAATATGGAAGTGCATAACCCTTTTCCTACATTCCATTGTTGTTTAGACAAAAGAGTAATTTAACTTTATTTACTTTTTTCATTTTGTCATTTCTGATGTACATGCACTCCTCTTTAAAACAGGGAGTATTCTATGTCAATGGTGGTTTTTAATTCTGATTCCACAGGACATAACAATGTGGCCATTTTTAAAATAAAGAAAACACCTTGTTAGGCAATAAATCTCATCATAGCTAAAGGCAAAACTTGTGAATAGTGTATAATTTAAGGAGAAATGCAGGGCATTAAGGTAAAGGTAGCTAATATATACAGGGCATGACACTCCACATGTATAACCTAAAAATGCTGGCAAAAAATGAGCTCAAACTTGGTGCACTTACGTGAAAACATCACTTCCCCAGCCAGCCATGGCAGTAAAAAGACGTGGTCCAAAGTCTCTTGCAGGATTGACAGCGTAACCAGAGTTAAAGCCCATGGCCAATCCAATGACCAGAACCACAAATCCCACTGTGAAGGCCTCCAAACCTTGTGGGATTGGGTTGTTGTATGGGTCCACAATTGCCAGAATGCAGACTATGAGGGCTGCTGTGCCAATAATCTGTATCAAAAAAAGATGTGGGCTCAAAACACGGGTTTCATGTTTCAGATATCAAGTTTTCTGTTATGTTTCTTTTTTTTGTGATATTCGCGTTTTTGTTTTTTTTCTATTACCTGATCAAAGAAACCATTCACAAGAGTGAGATGTTTCCCTGGGTAAGTAGCAAAGATTCCAGCGGTGGCATTTTCCCCATCAACAGTGAAACATCCGGTGTCCCACAAGGCATCTAAAACAGAAGAATAACGCTAAACTTTTGCTTTGGATTTTAGATGATGTACTGTGCAGTCTGACACATAAAACTCTTAAATAATAAATGAAAATAAATGGATAATAGTGGATCATCCCTCGGGGTCTCTGCTTACCATAATACATGCCAAAAATCACAGCGGCAGCAAAAAAGGCTCCAATTGTCTGAAAGAGGAAGAACATGGGGAACTTTCTCCACTTATCTCTTCCAAGCAAGCAAAGTGAAAAAGTCACTGCAGGGTTCAAATGGCCACCTGTAGGGGAAATAGAACAACATGTGAATATCATGTGAACCACAATACCAACATTAGATAACACTAGAAAATAATGACTTTATTTTTCCATAAACAAAGATCCATCCTCAAAAACAAGCTTTGAAAATTAGCAATAAATCATTAATGTCACACAGAAGCCCATTTGAATCTGCTTACCTGATACTTGGCCACAGACAAGGATCCCTAGAGTGGCAGCAAAGCCAAAGGCAAAGTTGACAGTAAGGAACTGTCCATGGGTACCTTTGCTGAGTGAAAATTGGGCCACAGAACCACAGCCAAACATCTAAAAGAAAGAAAAGCAAGTTAACATTTCTTCAAAATAACTTAATGTACTAAAAATATAATTTACTGTTGCTGCAATAAAATGTCAGATCTTGTTGTACATGTTTGCTTGTGGCAATAATCTTTTCAAAATTTATTTTAGAAAAAATCATAATTGTGCTGACCTATTAATTTGGGATTTTAACTTATTTTTACATTTCCTAACACATAGCAGTCTTGTCATTTCATTGGCACAATAAAGAAACAACACTTTTGTCATTGATCAAGGTCTGAGAAATGAAAATATTCCTCTATGATTATTATCAGAGAACCAAGTCAAACAAAGGCTATTGGATGTGGAAATAAATGAGCTCTATTGTACATATGAAGGTACACAGGACAACGGGGCTCTGTATGTGAGAACAGGTCGCTAAGCTGTCCTAAATTTGATCAGGAACTGCATTCAGAAAGCTTTCAACAAAGAGGCTTTATTATGAACTGTATTCAACGAAATGAGAAAAATTGTACCTGCCTAATAAAAATAAAATATAAAAATGTGGAACTTTAAAACTCAAAAAATGTCAATTTCACTGTGGGCCAGAAAAAAAGTATTTATCACAATCAGCAGCTGCTGGAGTCAACGGTTTTTATGTGGTAAATATAGAGAATAATTTACAGTTTTGTTGTTCTATGCCACAACGTTGATCCATCTTTAGGCTTTGACTTTCAGAAGCCTATGATGAGCCTGCTATTCAGCATAACCACACCTCTCAGAAGTTGAGGTTATGATTTGGGGGTAACCACATTGAGAGGGACTGGCGCCTACACTTACAAAATCACACGACTCTTTGGTCCTAACCATAAGACTACTGCATTTAAGTTATGATGAATTATGTTTTAAAAAATAACTTCAAGATGGGACCACTAAGGCTGCAAACGATTATGTTTACAGGTTGGTTCAAAGAATGTGCTTAAATATTTGTAGCAGAATGGTGTAAAAAAAAACAAAAACAAAAAAAACGCTAGCAGGAAACTCAGTTAAATTTAGTTCAAATTTGTGTTGTGAGGGGATAGACTCAAAAACATTTCCTTTATATTGTTTACAACAAAAACAAAATATTGAAACTCTCAATAAAATGAAACGGAAGAATCGTATATCTATCTATTTCAATTTAGCTTTATACATTTCATGGAAAAAATGGCATCAGATGATGCCATAACTCATGAACAGGAAACTAAAGTTGGAAAATGTGCCAGCAGAAAGAGGTATGTAGCTGCAGCACAGCAGTGCCGAGTCTTTAATGTCAGGGGGATTAGATTACAGATGATGAACCCTCAACTTTAAAGTCTCTGCTTCCTTAGTCAGCTTCACAGTCTGCTTTACAGGTTTTTCTCTACTGTTCATTTGAATTACACTGAACCAGCTGATTCATATGGTTATGCTTTCATACTACTCTGCTACTGCAGGGCTTTGAACACAGTATGAGAGCTTGTAAAAAAAAAAAAAAAGAGAGATATTGTCTGCAGCTAGTCTGAGGCGCAGATTTGGGGATCGTCTGAGGGGAAATGAACCTGCTGGCCACAATCTTCAAAGGAAAATTTCCACTTTTAAGGACTTGATTAACCTGCTGCATTTTAATTAAATCAAACTTGTTTGATTTTCTTATTGGGAAAATCAATAGTGTCGATTTGAGTAAATGTTAATATCTTAAATGTATAACATTATACTATCATTTTTTAGATTTTTTTTTTGTCATGAACAGAACTAAGTCAACCTGTTTGGTGATGCAATAATGAAATTACATCATAATAATGTAGGTATGCAGTTACACACGCCCAAAAATGTCCTGTATCACAGTTAGTTACTAAGTATTTATTTATATTTGCCAACAAACTTTAGCTTGCTTCAGGAACAAAATAGTGAAAAAAATATTTAATAAATTGAAATAATACATTTTCATTTGTGAAATATACGGTAAGAATTTATGTTGGGAATAGGTATAAGACAACATTTCACCACAGTAAAACCCAATCAAAGGTGACAATGATACCTTTTGTTTCAGGTATGCAGAGGACATGTGTGACCTGAAGAATAACTTTGCCACACCTATTTACATCACAACAGAGACAACTGCTACCTTTTTACGTCAAAGATATTTCAATTTGAAAAGCTATCTAGCAGAAGCATTGTTAAACATCATCCAGGTTATAATGGACCAAAGTAATGCGAAGACAATATTTAACTTTAAGGTTCCCAACTTATTAGGACGTCTCAGTGTAATTTTATTTATAGAAGCAGAGGAATTGAATATTTTAAAGCGAAAAATGTAATTGAGGTATAACAGGACAAAATTAGTTATAAAAAGCAGAGCAAAAATTATTTTCCTATTTAGATAAAATAAAAAATGAAACACTTTGGCATTAATGTTCTAATGCAAACACACACGTGATTGACTACAGTATCGGCTACAGTAAATAAGGTTTTATTGATATGGCATGCAGCCCTGAATAAGATTTTACTTTGGCGTTTAATCTCACTACACCCAACCTGTGCAAATAGCATTCATTAATCTCCCTTCAAGTCTTATTTTGCCATCATCTATTACTTCTAAAGAGGTTAGATAAGAGGGCTGCCATATTTATGAATAGTTTGAATGGGAAGAATATTTAAAAAAAAACTGTCTCACAGGTACAGAGGTTAAGTTTGATCAGAATTTATAATTATAATGTAATGCTATTTTGCTGTTTATTTATTTAGTCACCCATATCAACATATATATCTATGTTGTGTTTGGCAAAGAAAACACAAAGCATGTAGAAACTATTTCTTATTAAGATTTTCACTGAGTCCCATTAGAAGTACATTAGGACCCTTTTATCTATATGTTCTGTTTTCTTTTTTGGTGTCTTCTACACCACAGTTCATACCATGGTTCACCACGGTCTCATAATTATGAAATTATCCCACAAAGTAAACATCTTCAGCAGCACTTGGAGCACATGTACACTAACTTACCACAAGGATGAGAGTGCCAAGGCACTCTGCCAGGGCCTGGCGGAGCAGCTTGTTTCGGATCTGAAAGAAGCGGGCCAATTTGTCCAAATAAATCTTCTGTCGACTCATGATTTTGCAGGCTGGTGAGACTGTGAGAAGATGCAAACGCCACAGATGCACGGGGCCTTCTAAATGGCTCTGAATGTGTAGGGCCAGTGCTTCTCATTAAATAGTAGAGATGGGCTTGGATTTGGAGAATGGGACCTGCCCACTTCAGGAGCACCTCCCGTCATGTGTGACTCACAGACTGGTTTCTCTCCCCAGGCCTGTCCACCCCTCCCTAAAGCAAATTAACATGCAACAAACAAGCACTTTTTTTTCTTTGTATTCTTCCACTCTTTTCTCAGTATAAAAAAGGGAAATATATATATGTATGTATGTTGTCTTCTTGTGAAAATAATACAAATATCAAAGTTCCCATTTCTAGACCAAGCTTTGAGAAAGCAGGAAACTGCTATGCTTTGTTGCAGATCTAAACCTCTTCTCTAAATTAATGCAAAGTACAAAACCTGCGCTGATACCCAGCTGAACACAGCCTTCCAAAACTGCTGAGTTTCTATTTTCCCTGTAGTTTCATTCATTTATGGTGGGAAGAAAAGTGTGATGTGATTAATGCAAATGAAATGAACATTTCTAAAATACCGACACTAGCTAGTATCATGATTCTGTAATATCATGTTAGGCTTAAGACTTACATTAAAAATAATTCCTACTTGTAACACTGACAAAACAAGAGATATCCTAATCCAATCATTGATATCAGGAGAGGATCCAAATTCTTTACTAACTGTAATTTCCAGTATTGTCAACCTGCTGGCTGTATGCAGGTCAGCCCCAGCAAGATGTGCAAAGTATTTAACCCAGGTAGCAGTGGAAAAGCTATATCATACTCTGTGCATATTATTTTGATCAAATCCCGTGTTTCTGGTTTTAACAAAAGCCTATTTCCTCAATTTCAATGATTCGGAAAAGGGCGAAAGTGGTTCTCAACTAGCCCCACTCTGTGTGTTATGTAACAAGCACTGCAGAGGTGTGCTCAGGTATACTCACATAATGAGTCATTAAACTGCATGATTTTAAACTCCAAGCACTTTTTTCTAATCATAAAAATTGTGAGTTTTGCTTGCATAAGATGGACTAGAAACACACTAAAAGGTATTGAAAGTTGTTAACCAGACAATAAAAGTAATATTTTATATATATATGCTACATTTGCCCAGCTGCAGAGAGGATATTAGCAGCAATGATATGAGAGTTCTGTGGAAGAATATTGGAGGGTTCTGTGGGCCGTTATTTCCATATCAAATAAATTGATGTTAAGTGCATACAAACAATTTTCTGCAGAATCTCTGGTTTACATGAAATATTTATCACTTGAAGAGAGTAGACCATGAAATCCACATGGATGGATGTTATTTGTTTCTGCTTTGCACAAAATTGTATGTTTAAAACCCTGAAATATAACCTAGAGTAAAAGGCTTACTCCCATTTTCATCACAGATGAATGTAAGCAATCCATCTTTGCAGAAAGTATGAGCGCATTTTGAACAGTTTAGCACGCTCCCTCCACAAAACTTCTTACAGCACCCTTTTCTTGTTATCAAAATTAATAGGCACCAGGGGTGGTCTCTTTTCTGCTTCAGCTCATCTGTTTCCTGTTTCAGTATATTGTGGGCTCAGATACTACAGTATATGTTCTGCATTCCTTGGTTGTAACTATTTGAGCCCCCTGCCCCCAAAAACTAATGTTCTTTTCATTTTCTTCATTTTTTGATTGTAGCATCTATATGCTGGTTCATCAGTGTAGAAAGCTTTTCTAGCATTTATTTTTTATCAAGAGGGACTTTGATAATTTGCCACAGTGCTGGTTGTTCCCTGGGAGATTCCAGAGACTTGATGGAGTAAAGGTCTAGACTCTGCAGGGACCCTTTGGGTTAAAGTCTAAAGTTATTATGTTATCAATATTCTTGGCTGTTTTCTTAGCTTGAAAGCAGCTGAGCTTCTTTTCTGTGACCACAGCATGTCTGCTGCTATTTGTTTAAAGTAAGAAGTTACTCACTGCATCAGTTAGTTTTAAAAAATGGCCCATGGAGAAATTATCCAATGAGAGGTTCTACTTTTTTGTTTTGTTAAACCCAGGTAGTGACTGTTTTTTTCAAAATACTCTATCAGTCCGTAGCAGTCGTGTAAGATACCATCAATAACAGATTATTGCGTCCCTCAGCTTATTTGACTATAAGGTTTGACTATGATGAAATCTTTTATTTATTTTTTTTTTTCTTTTCTTGAGCCAACACTCCTCTGATGGGAATAAGAAGTAAATCATCTCCTCAATTATTTTTAATGTCTAAAAAGTTGCTCCTTATTTTGACTCTCCAAACTCCTATTTTCATGCATTTACACAACCATTCCCACGTAAATTTTTTATCTTCTTTGTCTATTATATTATTTATGGCACCAGTTGTCAACTATAAGAGTCTTGAATTGGAGGCAATAGGACTATTGCTGAGTTCTTCTGAAAATCTTTTTCCATATATCCAGGAATCTTTGTCTGTTCTATAATACCCTTTGTACGGAGCTCCAATATTTCGGTGACCTGAAGACCCATCCTTTTAGGCACATTCCAAGTCTGATATGAATCTATAACCACACATTGCCCACCTGAATCTTTGGAGTCTGTTGGTTGGCATCAAGTCTGCATTTGGCAAGTTGAATTATGAGACTGCTTGTGTACTTCTCTGGAATGAGTTCCAAAACAAGACTGAATCTGCAATCCTCCCCCTCCGTTCACTATTGGGTTTTTTCTTTTAACAAAGATGGGTCCCATTACCACTCTTTCAAACCAGTTGTCTTCTTTGTCCAAGATCAAAACAAAATGTCCATCAAATGTGTGTTCTTTGAAAAAGATTGCTGTATAAGTCGAGCCAAAGTTTTATTGTCACTGATTTATTTCACACATTCCTAAAATCTCATTAACACTCATCTATGTGGTCGTCCCAGAAAGTGTGACCATTTGTGCCCTTATCAGTAGTCACTGGCCTTTCAGCACTTTATTCAGTATTTTTCCATTCTTTGTGCCTGTTTGACTTTTATAGCCGAAAGTTTGTTTTCCTTGACTAAACTATCTGAGTTAATATCTTTCTAAATGAGAATGTGCAATTTATCTGGGAGAATTTCCAGTCTCGCCGCAATTTTAACAGCCCTATTCTGTAAATGTGTCTGATTAATTTCAAAGTTACTTCCTCCTAACTACATGGTAAAACTGACATGCAGAGTCTTACCAAAACTTGTATGAGCAATGTTTTAAGCAAATTTAAATGAACATGTTGGATCGCTGAAGGCAGTCTGAGTCATGACATGACATGCATTCGTCATTAGTGTTGCACAATGGCAACACAAATTTTCTGCAGTGAGTATATGAAATTTTGCACGAAAAGGGAGTGACACCATGAATCAGAGAAAAATAAGCCTTTTTTATTACTCTTTCAAGTACATTTGAACAGTTTGAGCAAGTAGTGTTTTTTCAGTGTTCTACTGAATGGGATTCCATGGGATCTATGAGTAAATGGTTTAAGATGATATCAAGTTATGAAATTATTTGGTGAAGCAGATTTGACCGCTTGGCTTACAAAAAAAAAATATATGCATACCGATTAAGCTTTTAATTTCAGCTTATACTCTATACTGTAGATATAACAGCCTTAGCATGAAGCCTTTTCATGCCTTGCTTCTTTCGTCACTTTTCTTTTGCAGATTTTTGCCTTTTGGATTTTTCCATCTGAATATGGTTCACTGGCCAGATGATGTATTAATAAAAACAGGACGGTTGATTTAACTTGAAAAAATATCATATTTTGGTGGCAACTTTGTTATCTTAAATCAGAAAGTTACTGATCAATCATAATAAATATATTTCTTCAATTTATCCTGCACCATACTGCCATCTTCTGTTAATGCTTCCTTACTGTTAGTTTGGGTTCCAATAGGTTTATTGATCTTTTTCTGTTCTTTTTTTCTCATATTTGGGTTTGCATAACTTTAGCTTTCTAATGGGAAATGCACTAAAATTAGGCCTAGTTTTGCATCTATGGCTATTATTTATTTATTTTTTTATGTGAAGCTAACAAAATATATTCCTTTTGAAAAGTCAAAGGGATGTCTTGTACTCCTTTCACTTTTTCATGCAGTTTACTGTGTCTTTCTCTCTTAAATATCCTCTTGAGTTTAGTCAAAATTACGGCAGAAGTTTAAAAACCATATGATTTTACACATATTGCCTGGAATTGTTTAGTTCACCAGTAAATGTGTAAAAGAGAACGGGGAAAGAAATGGTGTATGGCATCCAAGAGTGTCTTTAAGGGAGCCATCAGGATTAAGAAGTCTGCATAATACCTCTAGATTGTCTTTTAATTTTTCAATTCATTTATCTTTGACTTTGCAATGCAGAGTTCATAAAAAAAAATCTGTCAGCCAGATGTGTTTGTCTGTTACTGAGCCATTGTGCAAGTTGTTTTCCATTGAGGAAGACAGAACAGGGGCTGACAGGAAAAGAAAGATTGATATCCTGGTAGGTCACATATTCTTGATCAAATACAAATCATGTTGTCTGTAACTGTTCTGTGGCATGGCGTACTTTGACATTTTACAGCTTCTGCATCTTCTATTAAGATGAAAAGGTAAAAAGTAACTCGGATTGAGCATTTGGGAAACACGCACTATGATTACAAAGTTATCGGCCGGCAAAACACCGTAGGGCACTTTACAGATCTGTACCGTTAAAGCATTTTGTTCAAAGTGCATTTGGCAAAGTAGGGCATGTGGGGGCAAAATAAGATCAATTACAGTGGCAAGTCTGCCAAAATGATGATGATAAGATAAAAGTAGCTATATTATTTTGTCATGCAATGGCAGGTCATGGGTTCCACAGAAGTCTAGTGTGTGAGGTTGTTACATGGGTAACAAGCAGCTTCCTTGGGACATTTATAGAAGCCCAAGCAATTCCTGCTTACACCATCCAAGTCAACATATCAGAGAGCACATTTCACAGCCGCCAAACATGGCTGCAAACAGAAGGTCAAAAGAGAGTGTAAGGACAAAAGTCAAACAAAATTAGGCTCATAAATTGTAATACAATCTCCATAA